CTTATGGTTGTACGGCAGTGAAGCATCAGTGACAACACTGATGTTGCTGTCTTGGATGATGATGATGATGACCCGCCCTCTATTGGCATGGCCTGCGTCAAAAAGTCTACGCAAGTTCACAGGTGTCTATGCATTAGTGATTGACTTGTTCACGTAGAATAGCTGGGGGATCACATACGGAAACAGAAACAAGCACACGCACGCACACACACAGACATGAAGGTGAAGCCAAATGACAAATGTGGCGCACAACCAACATCGAGTAATGACGACAAGCGTGGTATGTATGGAAATACACGTACAAAGTACCTGAGAATCCGGTTAATGACAGGAAAGGGGATACCTGAGTGTCGTTGGGTGAGTAGACCGTATTAACGACTTGATCGAGCACAGCATATATAGAGAAGTAATGCAAAATCATGCCCATCACCAAATGGAGAGGACAAGACCATACCGCTCAAACTTTAGAAAAATCACGTTAAAATGACGTTGATGAACGGGCAGTATAGTACAGTAGGCGAAGAGAAATTGCTGGTCGCAGGACGAAATTCATGGAAAATCCATCGAAACAGCAGGCGAACGTAGTGGGAAAGTAGCGAGAGGTAGAAGTAGACGAATAAGTGAGAGTAGGCGCGTTCTGTGCGTGTGTTCAAATATAAACAAGCAGATTTGCTCCAAGTTACAATGGCCGAACTGACATATTATTCAAGAGATGGCGCTGGAGAGAAGCACGATGATCAACATAATGAAATGATAACCACGCGTAAAAAAACGATAAACAGGACGACAAAATGAGAAGTTAGGCGGCGCTTGTTCCCAATTCACAATGACGCGAAAACGTCAAAAATGAAATCAAAGTAGTAAAAAGAGTGAAGCGGAAAACCGGTTCGTAACATGCATGCCACTGGGTAAACCAACACTGGAACATAATCCAGTGATGCCAGAGGGAGAAGAAAGGTTTCCAGTCGCAGCTGAAGAGGAAAGATGGTGCACGTATGTGGATGGACGCGGCAATGTTATGGAACAAGGATCAACTTCTCGTGTCGATACCGCGTACAACAAGACAAAGAGAACTGCATTACGAAAGGGGAATAGGCAGTTTTAACACTGTGAAAAGATTGGGAGGAATCCAGCGCTTAAGGGGGTAAATGGCGCAATTATCCGCTGCTATCACCAGCCTAAACAATCTGAGTGGTAAAGTAGATAGGAAAGCAGTATCCATCTCAACAGGCACGAGATGACCGAGGTAGGGTGGTGGCGCTATTGATGGTGCTCCGAGAAATCAGATGGATTGGGAATCCAATGACCGACCTGAGAGTTTAAATGCGGAGCAGTTTATGAGCCCTGTGTGTGCATGTGTCTGAGTCAGCTACAAGGCTAACGCTCGCAGCAAAATAAACACAAATTCTGAGATAAATAAAAGTATGTCTACGGCAATGTTGAACAAAATCAAGCATAGAGTGAATAAGGTCAGACACAAAAACCGATGTAGTCAGGCAGCAAAGGGAAATCCAAAATAACAATAACAGCGTTTGTCAGTTACGGCGCGATCAGTAGTGGCGTTGTAATATTATCCCTGCCGATTAGTAGGGTCTCCAAAGGCCCCAAGCCTGGGGGCGGATTGATAGAGGGACCCGCCAAGGTTAGATGAGGTCGGTTCGATTCGAACCGTATAGAATTTATGACCGTTACATTTGCTCTAAGGTAGGTGACAGGAATAAGAATAATCTGGTCTTAGAAAAGTGAGGTCGGAAGTTCGATGGCAGGCGATTAACGAAATGGAAAGCAAAAGGACACTCGGAAAAAAATCCCTGACGCATTCACCCCTGCACACGCAGAGCAGTGGATCACAGACAGAAAAAATAACAGGCTGAAAACATGTGCAAAAAGGTAGGTATTATAAGGTCAAATGGTTAAGGGTGGTAAAAAGGAAAATGACAACACAGGTAAACAAAAGCAGTTCGACGGTCAAAACGGCACTAAAGTCGAATAGTAACAAAAAATCCGGAGAGTGTGTTATCCTTGTGTATTCCCTGAGGTGTAATAAAACATCACCAAGATGAATGGGCTAACGTTTACTCACAGGAATCACTACCTGTTCTCCGACTTTGTGGAACGCACAATGCGGTCGGCCAGTTCTAGGCTAAGCTCCAATTCGAGTTTATCGCGATCATCATCCTCTTCATAAGTGAAGTCTTCAGAGTAACAACGGTTAGCTAATGCGGAACAAAGCTCAGAACGCGAAGCAATGTTCACGTTGTAGTTTTCGGAAGGGCTGGTCTGTTTCGTACAATCGATGGATCGATCTCTGATACCGAGGTCAACGCCGACATCGGTGTTCTCGAGCGATTCTTGTTTGAGCTGATGATATGGTGGAGTGTCTAAAGCACAATCCGGGTTTGCAAATGCTCCCGACAGTCCAGTACGCATTGGCGAGTAGTAGTGTGGGACGGAAGGGGATATAGAAGCTGTTGGTCTACTTTCAAGTCCAGAACCGCTGGAACCCGCAGCATTAGACAGACAGCGATCCGGTTGGCTGGTTGACTGGTCTCCATGAATGGTCCCATCCAGGCCAAGAACATGCCTCCAGGATCTTGTAGATGAACTGGTAGAGCTGCTGGCCGAGGGTGACAGAGAAGCAGTGCACACCACATTCGTACTGGTTGAGGAGAAGAACGGCAACATGGAGTTGGTTGAGGTAACGGAAGAGCTCGTGGAGTGATGATCCATGCTGGATACATCGTAGTTAGGTTTGAACCCATCCACCGGAAGATGACCGGAGACGCTGTGAACCGCAGGAAACGGAGAAATACCACTGAAACCGGGATAAACGCTGGAAACGTTGGAAATCGCATTGCTTATAGGAAATTGGAACTGAGTAGCGTAATTCTGCCAGGAAGAACCAAACATGGCATCAACGGATTCCGAAACGTGACTGCTATTATTGGAACTGACATTGGTAACAGTGGATTGTAGTCGTACGGGTCTCAAATGGTTATGATGCAACATATTATCTGCAGCAGGCTCCGGTGACAGGGATCGTAGTTGGGTGGACTGAGGAGTCATATCCAATGGATGAGGTTGACTGACCGAAGAGAGGAGTGAAGAACCTGAATGATCCATGGCTCCACTGCGTTGGTTCGGAGGGGCACCCCATGGAAGTGATAAACCCGTGTTGCTCAAAGGGGCGTTCGGTAGGTACGTTTGTGAAAAATGTGCAACAGTGGAGCTACCAACATCCAAGCCAGCGTGGTCGGAACGAAGAAGGTTTTCGATTAAGCTACTTGCGCGACTGAAACCAAAGATACCAAGGTTGACCGGATTAAGATACGGTAAAATGCACAGTACTGAGAACACACTAGATCGATAAGCATTCCAATAATTGAAGTTCGGTGACAGATAAAGACGAAAAAATGCCTGGATAAGAGCACCCTATGACTCGTCTGAAAAAAGGAATAGACTTACGAGGCAGTTGCGACCAGAAGCTATCACAAAATGGATAGATCTAGCCACCTCACTAGCTAGACGGCGATTCAATTCTCAGTTGTTATTTGTGCATTCATATCTTACTTGTTCACCTATTAACCTTTTGTCTTACTGAGGGATACAGCTGTAGAGTACTAACGTAGATAACTTACTTCACGCCGTTATGTTTGTTCAGTCCTTCCTATCATTCAGCTGTAGCACCCTCTCAGTAGCTGTTATGAACCCGTGTTGCTCAAAGGGGCGTTCGGTAGGTACGTTTGTGAAAAATGTGCAACAGTGGAGCTACCAACATCCAAGCCAGCGTGGTCGGAACGAAGAAGGTTTTCGATTAAGCTACTTGCGCGACTGAAACCAAAGATACCAAGGTTGACCGGATTAAGATACGGTAAAATGCACAGTACTGAGAACACACTAGATCGATAAGCATTCCAATAATTGAAGTTCGGTGACAGATAAAGACGAAAAAATGCCTGGATAAGAGCACCCTATGACTCGTCTGAAAAAAGGAATAGACTTACGAGGCAGTTGCGACCAGAAGCTATCATAAAATGGATAGATCTAGCCACCTCACTAGCTAGACGGCGATTCAATTCTCAGTTGTTATTTGTGCATTCATATCTTACTTGTTCACCTATTAACCTTTTGTCTTACTGAGGGATACAGCTGTAGAGTACTAACGTAGATAACTTACTTCACGCCGTTATGTTTGTTCAGTCCTTCCTATCATTCAGCTGTAGCACCCTCTCAGTGCCTAGCTGTTATGCCAAAGAAAGGAGGGGCGACACCGACTGGTTGCCAAAGCCTGGACAGGAGTAATCGAGATGCTGATGTTGCGTTCGAACCACGAACCTTTCGGCGCATAAGCTGGCGCTTTAACCACTGAGGTATCTCGAGCCCAGTCCTAGCTGTGATAACCTACCGGTTTACCAGAAGGTGACCGACTCCCTTACGTTTTGATAGGAGAATCGAAAGCACATTATCAGTCCACTGCATCACGAATAAGCTGCGCCAGCCCACTGTTCTTGGAAGTCAAGCGAACGAAAACCCACGTGTAAACAACGGAGATAATGAAACCCTAGAAGTGCTATAGTTGGAGGAATTCCACCGGCAGAACAATAAGTTAATTCTGGTAACAAACCGTCTTCAACGACTATTACAGCAAGTACCGATCATGAGTTTGTCTCCCAAAACAAAAAACACAAAGCACGAGCCTTCCATGACTAGAAGACAGATAGCACGCAACAAACCCAGACCGTAATGTCATGCCGTGCGTTATGACTGATAGGTTGTTTCCAGTGCAGTGAATTTTTAAATATCAGATTAGTTTCGACAAAAGAGCGCCAAACTCGAAGTGACAGAAACATATCACACCACTCTTGAGTGCTAACGGCACGTGCTCCCCATCGTTTTACCCGGAATTTCGTCCAACTAGATGAAGCCATGATCAGGCATGATTCTGGTGTCCTACTCTAATGTGAGATAGCATCTCAGAGAAAACCAGAATGCAAGTAGCGCAGATTATTCGTTTCACTCTTCCCACCCTGTTTGACACAGATTTCAAGCAGTTAGACAAAGAAATCCTTAGAGATGTTGATGCCTGCACACACACCTCTTTGGTTATGAAATTACCCGGAATCTTGTTTTCTGAGCACAAGTCTCAGAGACTTACACGCAGCACATTCGCCTTCATGCAAACCTCCTGAAGTTTACCGACTCTGTGCAGGCGTCCGTTTGCACATCGTCATAAAAACACCACGACGCATAAGGCCAAGTGAATAGACGACAGTTCAACCAGGGCATGACAGTACGCTCACCGATGGGACCGGCTACAGGCCACGTTCTGTAGGGTGCATAGGCACGTGAAAGGAGCACCACAAAGACCAAGACCAGCAAAGGACAAAAATAATCAACAACGTTCACTTTTACTGTGATCGGATTCATGTCGCGTTGGCATCTCACCGCATGTGCTCAGAAAACAGTTTGCAAACAAGGACCTGGAGTGGAAGGCAGCACTCTTTCCTCAGTGAGATCCCTTGTAGTTTACCAGGCTACAACCGATTAACCTGAGCCATTTTCTCTTCAACTCATCTTCAACTCTCATCATCTATAATTTTTCGCACTGATTCAATCAAAATCCATTGATGATACACTAAACATGTTCAAATAAATGATAATATGCTTCCTTCCGTCCATTATCCCATCTCACAATAGTAAACACTCACATAATGCAGAATAAGCTCTGAAGCTACACAAAAATCACGGTGGACTTACTTGCGCACCAGTTCGTGGTCGGTAGAGCCAACCATCGAGTTGAACTCAGAGTCCAACAGCAGATTATTCGAAAGCTGGTCGTATGGGTAGTGCACAGTGCCTCCGGGAGGGGACAACTTTAAGTTGGACCAGCGATTCCCGTTGCAAGGCAACTGTAACTCCTGCTCCTTTCCCATTGGGGTCGCATGCTGGAAGTAATTCGGGATTTTGCTCGGAAGGCCATAACCACCTTTGGGATACTGTCTTGCCGGTTGTTGCGTGCGAATATCAAAACGCGGTGAAATGTCTGCAGTGCCAATGGTTAGATTAGGAGCACATTGCATAGAGTCACATAAGGTAGATGAGGATGATCCATTCAAAGTCGTCGACCCTCTAGATGTCAATTTGTCGGTCGATGTTCGGCTACCCCGAGAAACACCACTACTACCACGGTTTCCGGCCTTCATAGAACCAGCAGGACGTTTAAGGGCGTTAGTATTATCCATCGAACAGGCACGGCGACGGACGTAGGGCTTCGAGGCTACCTCTGTGTTGATTCTCCAATACGAAGATTTTGTGTTATCCGATGACTTAGGACACTTGGTAAACCGATCATGCAGAGAAAGATTGTGTCGAATAGAATTCTGTACAGAAGTAGGAGAATACGCAGAAACGCATAAAAATGCTGAATCGAAGGACAACCAAATAGTTAGACCAGAGTGGGACACAGTAGTAGGGTCATATATAATATACAAAACAGATATGGGTTCCTAAAAGACTAGACGTATGGAGTGGCAAAGGAAAGCCCTTCGATGTGTAAATGCTACCGCCATGAGAGTGATACACTTGCCTGAGTGGCGATTTTCTCAGACACAGGCGTTTCGACCGATAAAAAATTGGGTACTATGGAACTTGGCGACTTCAACTGCATTGAATTTATCAATAGATAAAAAATTGCATTGAAAGAATACCACGTATTTAATATAGAAGAATATGTCAGCAGCTCAGTGAGTGCAAGTAACTTGAGTCGCGTTTCTACTCGCACCACTCGTTTAAATAGTAATCATATCATCCTGATTCGTATACACCACAGAAGCTGAACCGTTCGTTGAGGCTTGAGACTTTGTTACAAAGCAAGGTCAGATGAGTGCATCGTAGGGCACCGGTCGTTGTAGCTCAACTGTGGCTCTGTGTGCAGAATTTCACATGCCCAGCTGTTTAGTACGTAGGCCGCGGCCCCAGATGGAAACCAAGACCCTAATAGTAAAATATTAGGCTCTTGATATCTAACAGCCGGTGGGAAAATTATGGGAAATACTACTAATTAGATTCATGTTTTTACCTGTGTTTGAACTCTGAAACCATGGTGGGCTACATAAAACGGTGCTGACAGAAACAGGCAAGATGAGACTGAAAGATGATAAATGCAGGGCTCGCAAAACGAACATGCTCAGGTTCATAAACGTAGGTAGAAAAATTTCATAGGGGTCAGTAGAGAATGGACTTTGAAACATGGAACGAAGGGTAAGCGATTAAAGCAGCCAGTATCGATCGTTCGGCTACTGACTTTCGATCAGCGACCCTAAGCGCGGTGTGGAGTTTCATCCGGACAGTAAGCAAACGAGTGTACGGTTGGTTAGTGGATAGCGTGCCGTTGCATAGAATACCAGGGTAGATATGGCTCAACCCTGCCGGGTTGCGGCTTCACATGTGTGCAGACGTGAAAAACATGCTTGTGTAGGTGGGGTCGAGTGGCTTAGCTACAAAATGAACCTTGGCGCTTGTGAAACCAACCAGCAGATGAACGACCTTGTTGTCACAACAAATCGATAAACCTTCTGACTGATGTGGGCGACAGCACACAATGCACTTTTGGCGCATGTGGTCGCGGCATTATGAGAGCTTAGTGACATGCACAGAACGATTGTCAACCGACGCGTCGTACGAACAAGTTCAAATGCGCGTCCAAAAAAAGTAAGCGTAAAAGGAAGTCAGTTGTCTCTTCTGGTCCACAACGAAACAATGGAATGATGACGAACTAGAAACAGAATGGGGCATATTAAGGCATCGACGGTTACCATATCTCTAAAAAGTTAACGCCTTAAGGATTTTGCATAATGTTTCACACAGATCTATACAAATTGCAGTTTCGATAATGAAACCGCACAAAGTTAATGAAAGGCAGGTTGTGCGAACTTTGTGACAGCCATAAGTATCACAGTCGGAACGAAGTCACGGCATCCTGTACAAACTGTCCTCTTTTATTATCCGATTCAGACTCCGTGCAACCAGGTGGCATAGTCCCACACAAAAAATGTTAGTCACAGGAACTAACGACTTTAAGAGAGTAACTTGAATAAAATGCGGACACTCCAGTTTCCGCGTGTTACAAGCAGCAGCTACACAAGGTTGATAAGATCCTATACACTGGTGTTGTACAGGTTGCCACAGCCCGTCAGAAGGGTAAGCAAAATTGCTGACCAGTGGACAGGCAAACAAGAACTTCTTTCTGTCTGAAACATTGACATTGCCTTCACACGTGTTCCACCACCGGCTGATATTATTGAAAGAGCAGACACGATTGCCTCGCGGTTTCGCGTCTAGGTATCAGACGACTTTCCTGCGTAGATGGTTACCTCGTTAGACTAATGAATTCGAGGAGCATTCGATCGAACACCAGGTAACAGCGACGCAGACGTTCATTACCCAAGGCAAGTGGATGATACCTACCGAAACCTCACTGACTAACGCGCGGACTGCGGATATGACGACCTGTAAGAACGGAAGCGAACCGACAGCAGAGCTGAGGCAGGATGCCTATCCTATGGTCAGTGGACCTGGTCCTTCTACGGGGACTGACCGATCACTAATCAGAACAGACATTGGGAAATAGCTCTACGGTTCGATACGACCCTCTAGACAGACTAGCCGTGACCTTCAATAGTCAATGGGTCGAGGCTACCAGACAACGTGCGTCCCGAATTGTTGTGCAATGATGTGAACGCGCTAGCTGAATTTTCTTGCCAACTGTCCTCGCCGCGCGGGCCGTGATGCTACTCGGCAGGTTGACTGGCAGGCTGGCAGGATAGCAGTTCGTCCCACGCTCGTTCCAGGCATCAGCTGCTGACGCGCGCACGTGCGGTCGTGTGTGTGCGTATGTGCATGTTTCGACAACCTCACAGTCGCCTCAGTCGTCTACTTATCGACCGTCCCTATCTGGCAACGCATGCAGGCATGTGAAGTCAGATGTCCGCGACAGTAGTGAACGCTGTATGCACCGATAGGGAAGTCAGTGCGCATGAACACACTACTCTGGTCTCGGTCATCCCAACCACCGAAATTTTTCGTTACATTGCACAACGGCGGACTACGCTCGGCCTGCATCTGATCGATGATCGCCTCGCGTCTAAAGAGGGTAGACACCAGTATCATGAGCGGTAGGCTAAGGCCGTGGTTTAAAAATGAAAAGCCCTGGAAATTTTGTGGAGAAACGGTAGTGCATATCATCAACGGAGATTCCATCTTAACCGGGACTAGACACTCAAATTTCATTCGCACGGAGTTCGCCTTAAACGAAGAGTATCTCTCTCCAAAACATCACATGCTTGTGGACTTCGTCGATGAATCAAAGTGCAAAACACCAACACTCCTTATGCGAACTGAAGAAATTCGGAAAATCGTCCACCGCTGGGACCCTTTCCTTACTTGCGTGACAGGTCCACGTCCTTCTTTGAACTAACAAAGAGGGAAGGGAAATATCTAGGTGCAGTAAATTCCNTTTCATCCAAAGAGGGGCACCAACTACGATAATCCCGCCATATTAAGAGGGCCTAGTCCACAGGACAGTCGACAGCAAGCATCTGACGCCAGATTTCTACTGGACTTCCGATCTCTGTAGGTATCATCCCCATCGTTTTGGTGTCAACAACCATTATTGACAAGAAATGAAAAGACCATTGGAAACCAACCTATAAGTGGACCCTGATCACCGTGGTAGCGTACACGAGGAATTGTGTCGGTAGCCACCAGGTTGGCGAGCGCACCTCGTGGTTTGTACGCAGCCCAATGGGAGCGACAGAACACGGTTTGTGCCACCGTGCCAGTAGGAGTCCAGCAACAATTAGAATAGAATTCGTAAAACGTTTACAATCAGTAATCGACATATGCACTTGCAGAGGCATGATTAGAATTTAACCTAGGTCCATAACAGATTTATCATTCAAGTTAAAAGACAGTGCTTAATTTGGGACTAGCGGATTAGACAATAGAGAGATCACAGTACTAGCTACAACTGGTGAGAAGTCCGCACGTAGCTCAGGAGCAAATCAAATTAGATAATCGGCAGATTTCAGTGGCATAATAAAGCAGCACCGACCGGCCGGAATAGGTTTTGGATTCAAACCGAATAGAGCCGAAAGAGCACAGCCTCGAAAGATAAATACTTCATGGCCACATCACAGCAACGAGCGCCATTTCTGCATTACTGCATACTAGCTAAGCGGTCGACAACAGTTATCTGAATACAGCTCACAAAAATAAAATATGCCACGGAGAGGAAGAATTCAATAGCAAGTTAGCAGTCCAACTGTTGAACCAATGAATGAAGTTCTCAAAGTTCAAGTACGAAATGATATGTACGCCGTACGTAACAAATGCTGGGGTCTTCCAGTGTGTTGAGATCTCCTAACAATGAGTCCTCCCACCACGAATGTGTGCCCCCCAACATTAGGCTTAACGAATAGTTGTAGTTTTACAGGACGTTCTCCTCCAGGATAGGTTTGCGTGCCCGACTTAGTCATACACCGATTGGATTAGCACTGTAGGTACGATCGCCAAATTTGGAGTGTGGGCTGTGGAAACGAGAAGGCACGACATCTGATTCCGTGTAATTTCTTCACAAAGTAAAAATCGGTGGAGGTGGTGGCGACGGGAACGTGTCCACGGAACACTCGAATACATCCTAAACACAGGCATATTATCACCACTGAACCAGGAGTCGCTAGCTACTCCGCTCCTGTAAAGCCTATTGCGATTCCTTCTATGAGTAAAGTTCAAGAATCTCAAGGTAAGGAAAATAGTCGATCTGAAAGTGTAAGTGGGAGCACTTGATGGAAATATCGTTTGGGAACCTGTCGTCAAGTGGAAATAATATTATCAGTAACCGTAGCTCTGAGTATACCTTCCACAAGCCATCCCCAAAACACAGTCGAGAAATGACCAATCTTGCGATAACAGCCTAATTTGAAGTAAAGACCGAATGACTCACAAAAAGAACTAGGTGCAATCGCATAAACGATAAGAACCTGTGTTCCCAATCAGCTGGTAAGAGGACCAAAAATGCCCTTTAATTTTGGACGATACAAATAAAGACATTAAATTACTGGTTGGGATGAGTGAACCAACGCCGAAAGATTAAGTAGAGAAATGAACACGACTGTATATCACGTAACAGGGCCGTACTCACCTTCCATCCGGCAGATGTGGCCGGGTCGCTGCGCTCCCTAAAGTATTCGTAGTGGGTAATTATGAAATCGTAGATTTGCTGCAGTGTAGCCTGTTGGTCTGGGTATGAGTGAATTGCAACAGAAATCAAGTCCGAATACGTCTCCGGACCCCATGGATTGCGACGAGAAGACTTTTTCACAGGAGTGGTGCTTGATGGTATGGAAGCGGAAGAACTGGGTGTATTGTTTGGAGTGCAGGCTCGCGAAGTGTTTGACGCGGTCATTGCACGGGGACGGACTAAAGAACCAACCTGAGCGGATATTGTGCGGTTCTGATCGGATTTTGGCTGGACAGAAACAGAACTGCCAACTGTATCACGAATGCCGGTGGAGCTGCCTACCATACACGGTCTGTCGGAAACGTCCGTGCTTATAGCCGATCGAAGGAAACCATCATATAAGGGGGAAACAGTTGTCCCCGTGGCACGAAATCCGGTAGACGGTGAAGGAAAACGGGGCACAGAAGCTGTGCTTTGTGAAGGAAGATGAGTTAGAGTGGAATCTGGGGACATCTTGGGGGACTGGAGGGAAACCTGAGTTTGCGTAGGAGGACTGGATTTGGCCGGGATCGTACGACTTTCGTAAGGCCGATGTCCCTGACCAAGTAAACCATCAGAAGCTGACAAAGACAAGTAATCATTGTGACCGACGCTGGTTCCGATTCTTGAAGAAAGTGCCTGAGGTGTGTTGGGGTTCAAAACCAGTGGATCACGGTGGATGTAGGATGCAGACATTAGTGCGCTAACAAGAAGACCAGAGCATATCAGGTCTCGTATCGACACATGAAAACATCAGTTAAACAGTTAAAAAACGCAGAACAAAGAGAGGCATCGGCGTATAAAAATGAGATAGGTGTTCGACAGCATCACGGGGACTGTGAACTGAACGGATGAGTAGTAAAAAACACGGGTGCAAAAATTTCGGACCGGATGAAATTCCTGAAGGAGCAAAGCACCGGAGCTTGGTCTAGGAGAATGGCTGAAAGGGAACGAAACCGGCGAAAACTTTATAAATCATCGGCAATTAGAATGAATTTGGTATGAATATCTTGTTCTATACGAGTTAAAAAGCAACTAGATTCATGTCCCTATGGGGAGATAACCGAAAGGGATCGGTCAAGTCTTTCAGAGGAACAAACAAGTCTCTCAGGAGAACAAAAACAGAAGCTAAAAACTTGAGAACAAAAGTTGATACCCATCTGGGCCAACTAAAAGTGGTCGCTCGCGAGCTCCGACCTCTGCGGTACTACGTTTACCTGCCAAGGATTATGGTGAGAGCTGATGATTAGGAATGTTGTGGGTCGAATCAATCCTTACTTTCTATTGTCCCTCCATGTGTTTCAGCAGCAGGTACCGTTCTTCCATCAGGTTGCTTAATAACTAGGTACCTTAAGCAAAAGCTGCGATCTATCTCACAATGCAAGGGCCTACCTAAATCACCGAGTTCATTCGGTTGACCACGAATGGAGCTCAGTTGTAGGTAATCTATTTGAAAGTAATGAAAAGGGTTAAGAATGCTTCATCAGTAAACGCAATAAACTGTTGTTCGATTAGAGCAATAATATTACACGCGTAAAATCACCAGGATATTTGGAAGGATAAGGGTGAAACCTGGACAGTTAAAACCATTCTCCCGTGTAGGGGTGTTTAATCCTTATTTTTGTAGTACCAAACAAGATCGATCCGAGAGACGCCTAACTCATTCACATTGGCATTTAGTAATCAATTTCCACGCCAAAACAGTTCAGATCTCCGTTCCAAATTACCCGATGAAACGGCAGCAAATCAACATCGTTTTGGGTCAAGTTTGGCACAGGTGGTGGACCAGCCCGTTTCGAACCCAATGAACGAGCTGATTCAATAGCTTGTGTTCATTATTTAACAACATTTCTAAAACGAGGCGCCGACTGATCCGGAAAACTGAAAACGACAGCCTTGCTGGGCGTGGCTCAGAGGAAAAAAACAAAAAAATCAGACAACAAAAGTTTGATCTCATGCATGATTGTGAGATTGTAGTTGTCCAAAGCATATAAACCAATGTGTTAAAACGAAGGAGGCTAACTCCAAAAGGTAAATAGTTGAAATTCGTAAAACGAATGAAGTATAATTGCAGTGTAACCGTAAGGACAACGATATAGCCGGAATAATCCAACCTGAGTAGAAAAATGTGACGGCCTAACGACCGATAGAGCAGGATTCACGTGATGAACGCAATAACGTCACCTGAAACATCACGTGCAACAGCCAGTGACCATATCGGGCTGTTTCAATCATACGTCTCTGATAAGTCTGTTGCTTACCGTGGACACTAAACTAATACTCTAGGTATCCACTAAAAAATTTCACATCCCTTAACAGCAGCACCTTAGGTGACATTAAACTAGGCAACGAATGACAAGCAAAGCAGAATCCAACGGAGTGTTTCGGAAAGTAAGAAAAATGCACCCTTGCTACCCAAAAATCCTCCACCTCGGGTGGTGATAAAGCCTATTCTATTATTAGTATGGTGGAAATTAGAAATACAGTCATAGACTAAGCACTAAATACCAAAAAATGCGCAGGCAGACGGTGGTGCATCATTGTATTCCGTTTTAACTGGATTGTTTGAGGCCAGGAACACACTCCATACAACTGGGACAGTCAATCATCACATTTACATTCGTAAAGGCCACATAAAGTATGTAATCATGCATGCATTAACCTGACGCATGTCACAATGCGGCTGCTAGCCTCCATAATATTGTGATGCATAAGTGACGACAGCGTCAACCAGGATTCGTTCAGCTGTAGCATCCACCCGATGCCTAGCTGTCATGCCACCCGAAGGAAGCACGAGGGCTGGGATACTACCAGATTTCCCAAACCTAGACAGGGGAAGTTGAGAGGCAGAGGTCGGGTTCCAACCACGGACCTCCGGGTCAGTAAATTCGCGCTCTAACCACTTGGACCATTCCACCCAGGATTCAGTCCGGACAGAGGGCATATCAACTACTCCGACACCTCTGGATTTACAACGGAATGCCCGGAAGTTTGTCTCCGACCAGTAGGGTTCGACAGAACCACTCTTTTTACCTGTTCTATTCGATTTTGTTTCAAGGAATTCACACTTCAATAGATCGAAAATATTGGCATCAAAACTACACCTGGAGAATGATTAAGAGAATAGGACTACGCAGAGGACAATTCCGTTAGTCGAAGGTCATCATTCCATTCGGTCAACTCTAATCAGGGTCTCGGAAAAGACCTCTTGTTTTGATGCGTTTTGCACTTTCAAAGTGCGAATTATTGCTTCAGGGTTCCGGATCCTCCAATTCCCCTCTGAAAATGTAAGGAGTTTGTTGACCGCTTTATCTATCCGAGCAGATGCACATATCGTAACTGTGCCGTACCAGCAATTAACGCACACATTATCAAGGCACGAGCGGCGTTTGCGAACTTGAGCAATTTATGGCATCAAAAACGAATTTTGTTGAAGGGCAGCGTCTACGAGACAACTGTAAGAGCAGTTTTATCCTATTGTTGTGAAACTTGGTACTTCCGAGGACACCCACAGCTTGATTACCTGTCTCCCCAGTAGAGCAAAAGTTAGCTGGGTGCAGCATGCTCGCAATTAAGTGGTGCGTAAGCGAGTACTCCGTAACCAGTCACAATCACTGTAGCAGCAAATAAAACGCAAAAGATTAGGATGGTTGGGACATGCCTTATGCATTCCCAATCAATGTCTATCAAAGAAAGCGGTTGTGTAGCCCGAACTCCTGTTGGCAAAAGGCTCGTGGAGGATAAGGCACCTTCGCAAAGGAAATGAGTTTCAAGGGACTTTTTCGTCTGCTCATTTGGGGTCCACGCGTTTCACCTTGTACGTGGGTGGAAAATCTTAAAGGATCTGGGGGTCTCAGTGTTGTTGGGCATGTTGTCCCTCCTAGTCGGAATGCGTAGCTAAAGTTTGTGTCGTTGCATGGTGGGCCGATGGTAGGTCGAGTTCGAAAAAAATGCCGCGCCGATCCGACTGATGGTGCCTCACCTCAACCTGGTATGGAGGTGCGTTTCCTTGCAGTCTCAATGTGTAGACACTTTGGTCGTTTTGTGCAGGGATAGAAGACTTTGTACTAGTTTCCCATCCTTCTTTATTGGGTCAGTTCCGCTCATGGCTGTATGGCTGTTAAGCATCAGTATTTATTACTGGTATATCACTGTCTACGACGCTGATCACACCGCGGTGTCGTACACCATGAATCTCACACTAGCCGTACAGGTGACGAATGATGAAAGGCGATACTGGCTTCCTCCATTCCATTACTCAAACCGTGCACAAAACTGTGGCACAAACCAGGTGGATGTTTAGCTACTAGGTAGACGCTGATGCTGCAACAAGTGCGTGGTATTATTCTACATGTACGACAAAGTCAAGTAGTTTGAAGACGAAGCGCATACCGGGACCAGAGATAAGATGAGCAAAACCAGTCATTGCAACTTGAAGGATGCGGTCGACTACTTCCCTAGAACTAAGTAGATTTACATTTCCGTTATCCAGGATTCAGTTATTACCAGAAACTCGGATAACAGCGGTCAAATGATAATACTGGAATCTTTTCTGTAGAGGAAAACATCGGTAGCTCAGATAGCGTAGATAGTCGTTGACTTGTTCGCTGAGCTGGGCAATTTGATTGTAAACGTTTCATCACCAATCGAGGTAACATGATCAGTGCGTTATTGGGGACCGTAGTGGTGGATTAGTGGTTGCGCGTTGAGTAGTCTTACGCGTGTGTTAATATACGTGCTGCTGGCAGGGGATAACCTTTGATCGCGATCAGCTGTTCGGTCGGGCGGTTCCATTTGTTGCTCCGTTGTCCTGTGTCCCCATTCGCCGATGCCCACGTGACCTTTGAGCTTGGCGTCCCCTGTCGTCGTAATCTGGATTGACCTTTTGTCCTTTCGAGTCCCGGCTAGTGACCTTTATTGATTTGCCTCCAAGGAGTTTCTTGTTTCTTTGTTTGTGAATCCAACACTCGATCCTCCATGAGTGTTCCGGCTGAGCCGTTGATCTTTTGCACGTAGGGGTGCGTAAATTGGATCCAGTTCGATGCGCCGGTTGATCGAATCTGCCGTGGAGTACCACGCTTCCAGTAGTTCTCTTCCGCGTCTCGTGTCTCTGCATGCCAAAATTTTTGCGTTTTCCAGATTGGATTTGTGGCCTTCTTGGTCCTCGTGTATGGATATCAGAGACAGGGGGTCATGTCTCCTGACGGCCGCGTTGTGTTCCTTTATTCGTGTGCATAGTCTCCTTCCAGTTTGTCCACGTAGAATTTGTTGTAGTTGAGTTGGCACATCACAATGTTCTTGGTTTTGTCTCGGTTATCCTTCGGTCTAGAGATTAATTTCCTTGGGGTGGCATTCGGTTTGTGGGTCACGAAGTTTCCTTTTTGCGCCAATAATCTGGTTGCGAGTTCTGATATATTATTGATGTAAGGTAAAACTACTCGTCTGGTGGCTTGTTCTTGCTGTTGCTGTTGTTGAAACGTCTTCTTCAAGCTTCTCTTGATAAAGTTACTTGGATATCTATTGTTCTGGAATACTCTGAATAGATGGGTTTCTTACTTCTTCCACAGTTCTGTGGTGCTGCAGTGTGCCTAGCCCTCTTGAACAAGGTTAGGACGCAACTCTTCTTGTGGTTTACTGGATGATTGCTGCTGTGGTTCAGTATTTGATCCATATGAGTCTCCTTCCAGGTTACGCAGGATTCCAGAGTCTCGTCCATCTTTTTGTTCACTAAAACGTCTAAGAACGGTAGTCGATTGTTTCTTTCCAGTTCGATTGTAAACTTTATATATTCAAAAAAGATGTTGAGCAGTTCATGTGTCTCGTGTACTGAATCCCGTGTCATGTCGTCCACGTAGCGGATTTATGATCGGCAGTACCGCATGCAGGGTCTTAAAACCGCTGACTGGGAAATTTAACATATACATTAAGAATTCATGACTT